CTAATGGATCACTGAACGCAGAGATATTCAAGAAAATGTGTTGAAAAATTGATTTTTGGCTTCGAAGGCTATTATCTCGAGATCTACCAATCAGAATTTCGTGAAATCTGCACTATCGTATTCGCCGAGATGCGCACATCAAAACGATATGTATTGCATTTCTAACGGATCACATGACGCTGAGATATTCAAGAAAACGTGTTTAAAATATTCAATTAAAGCTTCGTAACCTATATATTTTCGAATTCCGGGATTGAACCAAATTGAGTTACACAAAATTCCAAATATAGATGTATTGTTATACAAATTCCTAAAAAGGAAATTTTTGGCTATCGAAAAATTGGAAAATCACTAAAATGAGTTACACAAAATTCCCAAAATGGTAATTCGTAAAACATCAATTCACATGAGTCAACTCGAGTCAACTCGAGTTGAAATGAGTCGAATCAATTTATTGACTCGACTCGACTAATGACTCGACTCGACTCGACTCAAATTCGAGTCAACTCATTTGACTCGTGAGTCAATTCATTAGGAGCTTTATGATTGGAGCGTACTCCCAATTTAAATGGAAGCCAAAATTATTAGAATAATTCTTCAGCTGAGATTGATAAGTTAAATGCCAAAATAACATTTCTATAGGCGCAACTAGCACAACCGGCTCAAGTGCACTCCCAGAATAATGAAGTCTCCGCTGATTTTGAAAAGTTAAATTCTAAAATAGTTTTTTTGGAAGCACAATTAGAGGAATGAATGCAGGTGTATTCTAAACTTGCTCAACGTTTACACCTACCAGAAAATGTAGTTAATTCGAATAATGCTTCAATCTTTAATAGTTATATTAATAAAGAATTGGAAAAAAGATTAGGAGTAATTGAAATTAATTTAACAAAACTCACCAAACTTATAAGAGAAGATACCAAATCAGCTCAGTATCGGTGTTCAGAATCCTCAGACTATAATAATGGAGAATTGGAAAAAAGATTAGAACAAATTGAAGCTTATTTAGCCAAATTTACCAGAAAAGATACCAAAGGTGCCAAAATACCTCAGTGTCAATGCTCAGAGTCCTCACCTTTTGGAGAATTGGAAAAAGATTAGGACAAATCGAAGCCTTATTAGCTAAACTCATCAAAGAAATTAAATCCAGGAGTGGACGAATTCATATGGCTACAGCAGATGAACACTCTAATCCCATTTTTTCTGATGATGACGCATTTAAACCTGAGGATAATGATGATGACTCTGATAATTGTTCGACTGAATCAGACTTTGGAAAATGTGATATGAATGTTTATATAACTTATAGAAAAAAAAGTGAACTATACTGAGTAGAGTAGTCATTCTAATAAGTCCTCAAGCTAAGCTCTAAAATTAATTATGGATTCAAGTCTTATAAGGTAAATCAGTATAATTCACCATCTACTGTAATGTCTCATCAGAGAAAGGTAGCAAAGGTACTAGGCGGATGTCTTTAGAAAAAACTATTCGCAAAATTATTCAGAGTGAATTTGTGAACTATCTCCCATACATAATTCAGCAAGCTAAAAAAAGTGAGCCTGTTTCAACTCAAGATTCAGATGAATAGGATATTTTAGATGGTCCTACGAAGATAGATTTCGTCCAAAAGAAGGAACCTACTACAAGTATTGCAACTGTAAAATGTAAGATTAAACATCTTAAAATCCCAGCTATGACTTTGGATTCTTGTGCTGAACTTCCTATTATAACACCAGATATTGTTGAACGTGTAGGGTATAGGATCGATAAATCTATAAAATATGATCTTAGCGGTATTGCTACTCTTTCAATTGTGTCTATTGGAGTTGTTCACAATTTACCAATAATCTTAGCTTCGGATTGTACTATTTACGAAGATTTTCTGATTGTGAAGTACTCTAAGCTAATGCTAATATTTTCTAATTCTCTTCTCAAGAAATACAGATACACGATTGATTAGGGCAAAGATGAGTTAAAGCTTCACTATAATGGAAAGGATTTTACTATTCCAGTCACTATGCAGAAGGTCAAGAACAAGCTTGTGGTAAATTGCGCAAACATTACTCCTAAATGTGATGATTCCTCAACTCCAGATAGAATTTCGCAAGACTTGCAAGACTTAAGTAAGGATGGCGCATTAAAAAAAAAGTGAGCCATGAGGAGCTTGAAAAAATGCTATATAACACTTTTAAGTATAATACAGAAATTAATGAGTATTGTGAAAGATTACAGACACGTTATAGTGAACTCCCCTCCATTGATCCCCCTCCTCTTTTGTATCTTCAGCACTGCAAGAGATAGTCTACTCTAATAACTTATACTGATAGTATATCTTGATAGGTTATCTTTTTCAAATGAATATGAGAAAAAAATGGGAATAAGAGAGTTATTTTTCTAATTTATTTTTCAGATTCGCTATATTTTTTATGCTTCTTTCTTCCACTTTCTCATATAATGCATATAATTCCTCTTTATTTATATCTGAGCTTTCTAAATTCATGGTAATTGGTTGGGTCAATCCTAAAAGGAGCATCTGAGTTACTGGTGGTTCAGAAATACGAATGGACTTGAAGTTAGATTTTTCTTTCAGCTTAGTCCCTCCAGTCTTTTTTTTTTCTATCAGTTTTACTGGGGCTAAATGTCTTTGGGAGCATATCAGCTAATATATAATCTTCACTCTGTTGCAGACGTTCACTATCATCCTATATATCAGAGACACAATTTTTATTGATATGATAGTCCCTTACTATCATATATGCAGGAACCTTATTTTTAAGGCTTCTGATTTCTTCGACCTGCTCTGGTGTTAAAACACTGGCACCTCGTCGATAATGAGTTTTTAAAAATTGGGTAGACATTAATTCTCAAGTATTTTTAGCAATATTTTAGAATGATAAAAAATGATAAAAAACATTATTTATTGTTTTAGAATGGTAAAGGATGATAAAAATTGATATTTATTATTGGAGAATGTTTGTTATTAATATGTGAGAAGGCAGGCTAAATTAATGTTTAGCTGAAATTTTATTCATGCCTTTTTTTTCCTTTTATGTAACCATACTAAGATTATGTCTAATATGCATACATTGAAAAATATCAATAAAAGGGGACATCGGCTGGATAGTGCATATGAGTAAGAACTTGAAAAAAAATTTAGATCTGTTACCAAATTTAATTCTGAGATTAATGATCTCAGTGAAAAGCTAGTAGATAAATATAATGAGCGGGAAAAGGAGTATCAGTGAACCTATGCTAATATTAAAAATAAGATTAGCCAGTTAAATGTGTTCAGTACTAAAGTTAGATCCCAACTTATTTCTGAACAGAAGTCTCATTCTGAGAGTCAATGTAAGCTTGAAGCCAAATATACTACCGAAATCAAATCTCTTAAATCAAATATTAAAACACTAAAGAGAGAGGTAACTTTGGCCCAGAAAGCTTCATCTCATGATAAAACCACGATTCTTTCTCTTGAAGCTAAAATACGTGAATTGAAAGGTATGTTAGATGACAAAGAGCTTGAATTAGAGCGAACGAATAGGGACCTTAATTCAAAAAAACATGAAATAGAATGTATGGAAAAAGGGATAGAGTCATCAAATAATATATTCAAATGGGAAATAGATGCTTTATTTTCATCACGATTAAATTCAATGGAGAAAAATTCTAGTCTTCGAGAGATAATCTCAAAAAAAAGATAATGAAATAGCAGAGCTTTCTATCCTCCACCTCTGCCTATGAATGATTCAACGCAAAAGCTACCAGGTTGGCTTAGTGATAATTTAAGACCTCTCATCTATGAGCTCAATCTTGAAAATAAAGTTATAGAATTCGATAAAAGTTTTGCTAGGAAAAGTGTATTAGAGGCTTTGCAAGAGCTATTACCCCAGATGAGATGGTTTCGAGAAGCCAGACAGATACCCTACCCAATCAATCTGTTCATAGTCAACCAGTACATTCTGAAAAGTATATTTCGAGTGAAGGGGTTGCGAAGCAATTAGATAGCGTAGAAGTAATACTATCAGCCCAAATAATGCCTCTAGTATCAGCTATCCCTATCATTGCAAACTCCTTAATGTTACTATTGATAACATATATCATACTTACTTTACTACTTCTTACAATTATATGGATCGTTAGGAAAAAAATATGGAATGATAATCTGAAAGAAAGTAATACCGAGTATTCTTCTAACTGGAACTATTTTTTATCATCTCCAGGTATTTCTAAGGTTAGGCTATATGATCGAAGGCCAGAAGTTTGGAATGATTATCCTAGGCCAGAAGTTCGAAGATAGGAATTGAAGTTAGCTGGTATTATTGTATGAGAAAAAATATGTAAATAATATTATGAGTTTTCTTAGTTGAAATTGCCATATCCCACTAGAATACTTAGAAAGTTTATTGTAAAGTTTTTATATATTTTTTAAGCTGTTTTACAGCCTCGTTCTGGAAGTGTTTATCGATCTTCTTTTCTCTCACATCTGGATTTTTGATCTGCATTATTTTATGTGATGGGAGTGGTTGATAGCTATCATCTTCATTGATAAAGCATGCGCACATTACAACTGTAGTGCCTAAATAATAATTGATATTTATTTTCATGTTTTGCTCTTTTACTATGTTCGATGGATACTCCATATAATCCCAACTCTATACGGTATTAATCTGCCTTTCTCATCATGAAGACGAGGACCCTTCATAATAACATAGCTAAACTGTTCACTAGGATCAGGAATCCTTTCATTTCTCTTTCTCATATATTTCATAAAACGATTATTGCAGAGATTTTTTTCTTAGGCCTCCATGTTCCCATCACAATAAATTCATTGAAATCCCATTTCTTGTTTCCTGCTTCTCTAAGTGTATCTTTAACAATTTTGTGAATTGGACGCATATTGTTTATATCTATAGCCTCTCTCATTATTTTCTCTCTGATGAATTTGAGAAGCTGGGATTTACTAGAGCTCTGAATCAGGTCAGGTTAACCTGTGACCCGACCCGACCCGACCTGAAAAATCCAGGTCAGGTAGACAAATTTTCAGGTCAACATCAGGTCGGGT